CCCCCCCCCCCCCCCACCCCCACACTCTCACAGGGCAAGCCCCACTTCCGCCACTTCGAGTTGACTCCGGATCTTTCGCGCGTGGCGTGGACTTCGCCACGCAAGGCCTCGCACGACGCGTCGGTCCGCCTGGCCGACGTGCGTCTTCTCATCCGCGGGGCCCAGTCAACACGCGTGTTCCAGTCGAACCCGATCCCGGAATTTGTGGACCTGTCCTTCTCGCTGGTGGTCCCGCCACCGGGCGGTGCGGCCACCGACCCATCTTGCCGAACGCTGGACGTGGTGTGTAAGGACAAGCGCGAGTTCGATATCTGGATGTGCGGCCTGCGCGCGCTCGTTGACGGGGGCGCCCGGTCGGTGACGGCATCCGATCCCGGGCGCCTTGCGTCCCTGGCCGAGCAGGTGGCCGCCACATTGACCAGCGATGGCCCGGATGGCGCCTTCGGGGCCGGGGGCCCAGCTGGTCGGGCTCGCGCGCCGCATGGCGCCGCCGGCGTCACCATGGTGATTGATGCCCAGGGTCGCGAGCGGCTTGAGGTGAGCTCCGCCGCATCGGACTTGTACACCTGGGGCATTGCCACTGGCGGGCGCCTGGGGCACGGGGGCATTGCCAGCCCGGTGGCCACCGGCCGGACCGGCAATTCCGATCCCCTGGTGGAGCTCACCCCGCGCGTGGTGGAGGCCCTGCTTGGGCGCGATGTCACCGCGGTGGCGGCCAGTCGCGATTGCTCCTTCGCCATCGCCGACGGTGGTGACGTGTTTGCCTGGGGCGCGGGCATCCGCCGCCTGAGGCCCAATGAAATTGTCGGCCGGGACCTTTGGTCACCGCTGGCCGTGGCCCGTTTGGCCGGCTACTATGTCAGCCAGGTGGCCGCGTCCGACCGCTTCGCCGCGGCCCTCTCCCCCACCTCCGGACGGCTGTACGTTTGGGGTGCCGTCTGGTTGGACTTGTCGACCGTGGTGGCGGCTGGAAGTGGGGCGGTGGCGGCGGCAGCGGCCGGCACCGATGACGATGATGATGCCGACCTGGATGAGGAATTCGCCGACTCGGTCAATGAGGCCATCTGCAGTGCGGCGAAGCCGGTGGCTGAGGGCGGCCAGCCAGCCGCGGCCATGTCCCCGGCCGCCACCACGGCCGATGACGGTGACGGCGACAGCGACGGCGATGGCGAGGATGACGGTGCGGACTTCGGCGATCTGTCCGAGGGCGACTCTTCCTCCAGCGATGATGAGGTCCTGATTGGTCATTCGGTGATCTCGACACCGGCGCCGCCGCGTCCGGCTGCCACCGGCGCGGCCCCGGACTCGCGGCGCACCCGGGTGTATCTGACTCCACGGGCCATTCCCCAGGACCTGTTCGGTGGCCGGGCCATTCGCAGCATCGTCGGCGGGCCGCGCATTTGTGCGGCCATCGACTCCGAGCGGGATCTCTGGCTCTTCGGTCATGGGGCCGCGGCCTTTGTCCGAGCCGGGCTGGCGGTCTTTTCGGCGGATGGCCAGCGTGTGACCGCGTACAATGGGCGCCCAGTGCGGGTGGACCTGCCGGGGCATCTTATCTCGCCCCCCTGGGCCGGGGAGGCGGATGACGCCCATGGGCAGCTCCATGGCGGGGGGTCTGGCGGGTCCCCGAGCACGGAGCACCAGCGCGTTCGTGTGCACCAGGTGTCCATCGGGGCCGGGCATGTGGCGGCCATCTGCTCCGGGGAGGATGTCCTCTCGCTGGAGGCACGCTTCCTGGTGATGTGGGGCGACAACAGCAGCGGCCAGTGCGCCATCGATCCGACCATGCTGCCATACCTGTCCCAGCCGCGGGCATACCACACGCAGGACTATGTGCCGGTGGAGGTGGCCTGTGGGCATTATCACACGTTGCTCCGGCCGCTGCCCGGTGCTAGTGCCCATTCGCCGGTGCTCTTTTCCTGCGGTGCTGGCGCGGCCGGCCAGCTGGGTCTCGGCTTCGACATCCGCCCGGACTATGTGGCTTCCTTCCAGCCGGTGACCTTCCCGGCGGCCTGGCTCCCGGCTGCGGCTGGCGGCGTCAATGCTGTAACTGCTTCGCTGCAAAGCCCGGCCCCGACGGTGGCCGCACTGCGATGCATCTCGGCTGGCGAGCGTCAGTCCGCTGCTGTGACCGGTGCGCTTTCACTCTTTCCATCTCTCGCCCTCCCTTTCTCTCTCTCTCCTTCCCCCTCGTCCATCTCTTCTGACCTGCTCTTCTTTTTCTGCATGTCACAACCAACCCTGCTCTCCCCCTCTCCTTCCCTCCGCCGGTGGGGTGGCTGTGTCTCAGACGCCGGGCAGCTGTTCTTCTGGGGCACGCACCTGCCGCCGACGCACGGCCTGAACGCCATGATGACCAGCCATCAGCTGGCTCTGACTTGCGCCCCGCAGCTGGTCGAGTCGACCGCCGACAAGATGGTCCGTTACGTCAAGTGCGGTGCCAAGCACACCCTGGCCGGGGTGGCGCACGGCTGGGTCCCGGACCACGAGGCCAAAGAGTGTATGGCTTGCAAGAAGCGCTTTACGCAAATCCGCCGCCGGGTACGTGCAGGCATATGCCTGCCGATTGTTGCCATCCCTCCCGCCTGCCGGTGCACATCGCGTCGCCCCCAAAATCTGACACCAGCCCCATCCAGCACCATTGTCGCAAGTGTGGCGGTGTTTTCTGCGGTTCGTGCTCCAGCAAAAAGTTCCCCCTGCTGGACAGGGGCTTTTCCGAGCCGGTGCGCGTGTGCGACAAGTGCTATGGCATGCTGTCGCGCGGGTGACCTTGCTCTCTGCCCCCTTCCCGGGCCTTTCCCCTCCCCCGGCCGAAGGTCCCGGGCCCCGTCTTTTTGCCCCTCTCCCCTGTACCCTCGCTTCTTATCCTGTGTATTCCCCTCGCACTGCCTCGGGCGGACCAATACCACCAGCAGTCGCACCAGCAGTCGCACCAGCAGTCGCACCAGCAGTCGCACCAGCAGCCGCCACAGCACCACCACCACCACCACCACCACCACCACCTATGGTAGCAGTGCAGCAGCAGCAGCGGCAGCAGCAGAGGCAGCAACCGCGGCAGCAACAGCCCGACTGTTGTGTTCTTGTTTTTCGCTTGCCCGGGACGCTCAGGGGGGGGGTCAGCCGAAGCTCTGGCTTCAGCTGCCAACGCTCGGGTTTCTCATGATCGAACAGATGTCCTTTTTCCGTCTGTTGTTCTTTGTCAGCCATCTTGCCCTCGGCCATGTCTCTGGCGATCTGGGTCCGCCCCGCTTTCACGCCCTTCTCCGGTAGGCTGTTTTTTTCTCCTTCCCCGTCTCCCGGCTGCATCACCACCACCTCGCTTCTTCAGGCCGGGCCCTCAAGCCCCGAGAATGACCCCAACAGCAGCAGCAACAACACCAACACCAGCAGTGAAATCAGTCTCACTCCCCCCCTCCCTATGCCCGGTGCACTTGCTCTCTTCCTCGCCCTCCGCCCTTTTTATCCTCCCAATCGTCCCCATTGAGCGGGTCACCCCCTCAGATGGTCATCCCTCCAGTGGCTTCCCTGTCTGGGTTGCTTGCCGGTGAGCGCCCTACCGGGACGCCATGTCTGGTGGCTCCTTCGCAATCGGCCGACAGCTACTTCGACTGTCCTGCCTCCTGGGTGGAAACCCTTGAAGGCCTCCAAAGAAAGGTGCGCAACCGGGGAGCCGGCATCCAGGCGAGAATGGGCCCATGATGTTGACATTCTTCCTCAGGGCGGAGTCGGGGCCCTGGTGGTCTTGCGCCTGGAGATCGCGGCCCACGCCGGGCAGTCCACCCCCCGCGTGTCTTTTGTCCCCTGGAGCGGACGCGAGGCCTCGGCTCATGTTGTTCGACGGGCGGAAGAGCAATGGCGACAGGCGGAGGCCAGCCTGATTGCCGCACCTCCCAGCTCGGATCCCACCGGCAACAGTTCTTGGCCAATGGGCCTACTGTCGGCGGCCCTGGCGTCGCTGGTGGCCCCGCTGGCCGAAAGCCCCGAGAGATCCCCCTTGCCGGCCGTGGTCACGGTTGGTGCGCATTTCGGCCGGTGTCTTGGAGGACCGCCAGGCACCGAGGAGGATCCCGGCCCATGGCGTGCGTCCGGGACCCTGCTGCTGATCCCAGGCTCGAGCAAGGGCGGCGGATCGGCCACGCCGGTGGCGGCCCGCAGCCTCCATGTGCGCGCCCTGACTCCGGGCGACTGGACTCTATTGGATCATTCGGCCGAGTTGGCCAGTCAGCGGCTGGTCGAGTGTGGACCGGTGGTTACTTTGTCCTCGGCAGGTGAGGAGGCGCTGCTGGCCGTGCCGGCAGTTCATGGTCGTGGCGGCGGTGCGGCCTTCTTTCAGATCGGTACGTTCCTGCCTTGGCACGCAGCGCAAGGCTCTAGGCTGCTGGCCTGTGGCACATTGGCATGGGCGCTGACTCCAAGCATGGTGCCTGGGCGCATAGTCTCCTGCGATCCCGAGGGCGTCCCTTTTGTGCGCCTGACCGGAAATACCGAGCTTGTGGTATCGCCGCCAGATGGCCCGGCTCGCGGGGAGTCGGATCCCGAGGCGGCGGCGGCGGCCGAGTCTGCGCCCGCAACCGTCCGTGCGGCGCCGCCGAAATTTGACACCATGCTGACCAAGCATCTGGACCCGGTGCGGGCGGCTGTGGTGCAAGACCTGGCACTGGCGTTCGGGATGTCCGATGGGCCTCATGTTTCTGGCACACTCATAGGCATTGACGGGCCAAATGGCAAGACTGCCATCTGCCACTGGGCACAGGCGTTGGTCAGTCGCCTAGATGTGTTGTGGTCCGTGTGATTTGGCGACATGGGACTCTACCTGGCTGCACCGGACTAACCCCCTCGTTCCATGCACACACACGCACGCACACATGTGTACAACTCACTTGCGACTCTTCCAGTGCGACAGAGTTCCTAGACTGCCGGAGTCTGGCGCTTGCACCTCTGCCCCAGGCACCCGGGCCCACATCCAATGATGGCGAGATGCCAGGTCATGAAGTCTTGTCGGCAGCGCTGCGTGTGCGGGCCGAGCTATTTGGTGCCATGAGTCGTTGCGTGGCCGCGGCCCTGGATGGAAAGCATGTTCTCTTGGTTCTCGATAACTTGGAGAAGGTAACTGCCTCTTTGTGCAGACATGCCTGCCCTTGCATGTGGAGCATGCCCTTGTGTGGTTTGCCTCCTATTTCCATTCGTATGACTGACGCCGTGTGTCCAGATTTCGCCTCCCAACTTGCCGATCACCGGGCAGGCTGATGACCCGGGGGTCCCCCTGTCGTCTTCCGACGGGCGCCTCGTCGGCGAGTATCTCAAAGAGTTGGTGCGCACCGCTCGAAGGGATCTTTCCCGGGCCGACGCTCCAACTGGCCGGATTCACATCCTGGCAACGTGCGCCGGGCTCGGGTCCGTGGAGCCTGCACTCTCGCGTGATGCGATTGCCGGCGGGCCGGCGATGTTCGCGCGGAAGGTGGCCGGCATGTCGCCCGGGCGCGAGGATCGACGTGTGCTCCTCCTCCAGGCCGCCGGGCTATGTGTCTCCCAGGGTGAAGATGAGTCACAATCTCCGGGGCCGTTGGCTGGCGATTGGTTCCAGGAGGCGGCCTTTCAGACGGAGGGGTTTTCCTGTCTCGACATTGAGCAAGTGGTGCTGGCGGCTGGCATTCCGCTTGGCGTCCCGTGCGAGTGCGCGCAGCCCGAACGTGCTGCCATTTGCGGCTTGCCCCGTCGCGACAAGGGCCCCTGCCTTTCGGTGGCCGAGCGCCTGGTAGACGCTGCCCTCGGGGACTTTGTGCCGGTGGCCCGGCGCGCCACCGCGGATGGCCCATCAGCGGCTGGTGCCCAGGATCGAAGGAAAGGGGACCTGGCCGACTGGTCGTCCTTCATCGGGTCGGCGGATGCGGTCAACGCCTTGCGAGAGTCCATTGAGGTGTGTTTCCAGCCGTCCTTTCTGCCGCCCTTTCGGCGGAGCTATCGTTGCCACGGACGTCTGGCTCGTGTGGCCCCGCCCGGTCCCGCTCCATTCTGCCCGGCCAGACCCCGTCCTGACTCCCTCGGTTCCTCGATAAAAACAATCTCCCTTCCATTCTTCCGGACCCTTCCCATCCCTCGCCGCCCCGGCAGTGGCCCATCCGATACAGCCATCTATTCGGCGAAGAGGCAACCAGAAGGCGCTCGCCCGGTGTGCTGTTATTTGGTCCCTCAGGATCGGGGAAGACGGCTCTCGGCCTGTTGGCGGCTCGAATGTCCCGTTTGCCGGTGGTCCATGTGCCCGGGCCATCATCGGTGTTGGATAAGTATGTTGGCGGGTCGGAGCAGCGCGTGCGCGCCCTTTTCGCCCGGGCCCGGGCCAGCCGACCGTGCATCCTCTTCTTCGATGAGTTTGAGGCCATCGCCCCCAGGCGTGGTGGGGCGGCAAGCGGCGGCGGCGGCGGCGGCGGCGGCGGCGAGGGCGGCGGGGCCGACATCACCGACCGGGTGGTGAACGCCCTGTTGACCGAGTTGGATGGAGTGGACGGAGGGCTGGAGGGGGTCTTCGTGATGGCGGCCTCTTCGCGGCCCTGGTGCATTGACCCAGCGCTATTGAGACCCGGGCGCATTGAGCGCCGTGCCGCGCTGGGACTGCCCTCTCTCGAGGAGGCGGCGGGCTTCCTGGCATCGCGCGCCATGGAGGCCGGGCTGCGCATTGTGCCCGAGGATGGTGCTGGCCAGGCCACCGGAAAGGGTGTGGACGCCGGTGTGGCTGTCAGGACCGACAGTCAATCTGGTCCCTCGGAGGGTCATTCGTGGCTCCCTGTGGCCGAGCTTTGCGCCGGGTGGTCCTGCCCCGAGTTGGATGCCCTACTGATGGAGTGCCGGATGGCGGCACTGCGCCGGGTCTTCGAACACCAGCTGGATCGATCCTCCGGCGAGGGGGCTGGCCCTCCCCCGGGCCTGCAGGTTGGGGCGCCCTTTTTGGTGAGCATGTCGGACTTGAGGACGGCCCATCGGGCCGTGCGGCCGCATGAGTCACTCCGGCGCCGGAATCTCATGGGCCGAGCTTTCGGGGCCTTCGCCGCGGGAGACGCCGAGCGCGCGGCCCGCATTGAGCAAGTCCTGGGCCGCTTGCCAGATGAGCGCTTGCCCCCGGCAGGGCCCCATTTGGATGCCCTGATCCGGGCGCTTGACGGTTCCGGGGTGGGGGAATTATCCCTCGCCTGAATTTGTCCCTTGGAGGGGCTGCCTGCGCTTGCTAATGGCTTAGGGTCATGTATGTGGAAAATAAATCCCCCCACAGTCGTCATCGCGCCAAAAGAGCGGGCAAGGCCCCCCCCCCGCCCCGCCCCTCTCATGGACTGCCAGTGGGTGATTATTTATTATCATTCCAACAGACACAGTAGCCTGCTGTGCAGTGGTGCTGCACCGTCTGTCCCACCTCCGAAGGCCCATGTGTGTCGGTGCATGCGTGTCGGACAGGGGCGGTTTCCGGCCTGCAGTCCTCATTACGGTTTCCTTTTTCAGCGGCGACCATCCCCCTTCAGTGTGCTTATTGTGTCGATGTATAAAAGGGAGGAGGGACAGGCGAGGGCGAGGGAGCCGAGAGAATAAACATGAACCTCCAAGGCCCCCCCCCCCCCCCTCTTCCTACTCTCCCTCACCTTCACCCGTTGATTCATTCCCCCGTCCCCTCCCCGCGATAGGCGCCTGTTCGCGCCTCGCTGCCACTCAGCAGCATCTTTCCGCCTGTCGGTGAGATACTCGGCCCTTGCGGCGGCCAGTATTCCCTGCTGTTGGGTCTGCTCCCTGAGAAAAGTCCACCAGGCCGTGGGAGAGGATGTGACCTCTTAGTCCGCGATCGACTAAACTGAAGCGATGACTTAACCGTCACCAGTCCACGTGACAGATCCACCGGATCCCGAGCACGACGATCCGCTGTTCATTGTGACGTCTTCCCGGCTCTCCCCCCCCCCCCCCCCCGAGGATGGGGCGGGGGAGACACGGGGGCCAATAGTACAAGGGCTTGTGTGGTTTTTCCGCCTGGCCCTATCCCGGTGGTTCTCCTGCCCGCCGCGCCGGGGCACATCTTCCGCTTTGGTCGTCGCCGGATGAACCCCACGCCCGGTGGCTCTTTGCGCGGCCGCTTGCTCTTCGGTATCCGAGAGATGGTGGGATCCGATAGGCCCCCCTCCCCCCGCTCTTCGTCTCGTCCTTCGAAGAGAGAGAGAGAGAGACAGAGGGAGGGAGAGGGCGCGAAAGAGGCAGGGCGGGGGCCCTCGTATTTTGCGCTCGCCGTGTTCTCACCCCTCCTGCCCCCCCCCCCCCCCCGTCCCGGGGAATTGGCCCCCTTTCTCTCCCTCCGGAGCCGGAGTGCCCCCGTCTCTCTTCGCCCCCCAGGGAGGCGAGATTTGGGCCCAGGGGCGGGCGGGCGGGCGCGGGAAGCACGTCAGCCTTCGCGGCGGGCCTATCTTGGGGACCGTGGGAGCGCACCAAGTGCCCACGCACGTTGGCGAGTTTCGTGGGAGCCAAGCTGGCCTGCATTTTTCCGCTGGGGTCCCCAGGCATGAACATCATGCATGATGGGGCCGGGGCCGGGGCCGGGGCCGGGGCCGGGGAGGGGCTAAGGCGCGTGTTGTCGGTATTCCCTTGGTGGCCGCTGCCCCTGGCGAGTTCTCCGGCCCACCCCAGGGCAACCTTGGCGGCCTGGTTACGCGGGCGCCCGTCGGCGCCCCGGGCCTCAGCCCGGCCCGGCCCGGCCCGGCCCGGCCCGGCCCAGTGGTCCCCGCACAAAGTTCCAGGAGTTATTTGCCCCGCCCCCCGCCCCCCTCTCCCCCACAACACGCCCCCTCGTGTGAGCTCCTCTCACATGTTGGAAGCTCCCACCCTGTTGGGCCGGGGGCGGAGGGGGGGGGGGGGG